AATATAGGGATAAAAAATTCATATAATCCCCGATTAATTTGATTTTGCCAGAAAACTTTCCTTTTACTCAATTAACAAAACTTTGTAATAAATTATTTTCAAAAATTATTATCATTGTCATTTGAATTTCCATTCCAATAAACATTGATTTATGTTAATTACGTACAGTTTATCTTCAATTTCATATTGTATAGAATGATTAAATACACTAACGAAATGAGTACGTTGTGGAAAGAGAGGCTGTCGGCTAAATTTATTGCCTGATTGAAGTTAACCGATTTACGTGCGCTGATTGATTAATAGCTAGAAACGTGCAGATTGTTTTATAGCCACCTGCTTCACTCATATATAAACAAAAACACTATTCTACTGTAATGAATAACATGTCTAAAATTTACCCAAAATAACAAGACGAGTCATCTCTTGCAGCAAATAGTACTTTGAAAAGATAAGGTGGAATGCTTGTAGATATACATCATAGAGTCAGTTGCATATTACGTAATTTTCCTTTGTGTTTCCCTTCTATCAGACGTAAATCCGAACAAGGGTTAGCAGTATAATCGTACCATTTGAACAATCAGTTCTGCCAAAGCATTGCTTTCAATTTAAGCCTTTATTCCAGCGGCTCTGTAACGAAAAATACATTCGACAATAACTAACTGGTGAAAACGCATGCAATGTTTCTTTTCTTTCCGCCACAAAACTGCATAAAAGGCCAATATTTTCCAATTAAAGCAACAAACGTACGTGTCCACGAATAAGTATGAAAGTCGTCGTAACATCCCGATGGCGATACGGATTGTTTAATGCTATAAACATTTAAACAACTGTTCAGAAATTAGTAAAACATTTCATGTTTAATTCTTTTCCATAAACAGGTTGGATACTTCAACCGATAGCCACTAGCTATTTTAAAAAGGCGAAATGAGTCTCTAATGTAAAATAATCATACTTCATACTAATATTATAAATGTGAATGTTAAGATGGATAGATGTTTGTTAGAGTTTGTAGCCTAAGCGGTGAACGGATATCGATGAAATTTTGCATATATATAGGATAGTCTGGAAGAATATATAGGCTACTCACTTTTTTTATTAATTCCAGCGGTCGTAATCGCAGGCGAAAGCTAGTTAATCATAAATCGATTCATTTACCTTTTTAATATACAAAAATGTGTATTTATTAGGTAAAAATCTTTACAGACAGTAATTATTGAAAACTTTTAATTATCGTCTAAGTAACGTACAACAAAAAGCACACACGAAACTTGAGTATTCTAAACTTAGTCGAAAATTGAAAACTTCTAAACTCGCAAACTAATAATGTAAAGCGAAGTTAGAACAAAAACTTCGTCTCTGGTTTTCTTTATTTCAGTTATACTGTTTATATTTTGTTGAATATTACTTATGAAATAACAAGGTGTTTCAATACAATTAAAAATATGTCACATGCATGATAAGTTATAAAATATACTACGAACTTAAACATTTATCCACGTAGTAAAGTAACGGCCGAATTTTGAAACGAATTTTATACACTTCGCTTCGTAAGCCCCGTTTACAATTTGATCAACGTTTAAGTTTTATTTGCATTTTAAGAATTGTTTTATCTTTTAAGACGCTATTACGTATTTAAGTTCAGTATTCGGCCATTAGTGTACACGTTTTTTTCAATTAGTCTAACTGGTGATTAAATATTAATTTTAACATTCTAGTAACTTAAAATTAATCACAACTACGTAAATAAACTTGGCATTTATTAAAAATTTAATTAATAAAATACGGTTTCAAAATTTGAATTAATTCCACAACAGCATTACGACTGCAACTCGTGTTGTACAATTTTCCGTTAAAAGATGTTAACTGCCACTCATTTTGGAGGTTTTCATGCGGCGAGGTAATTCAACTATTATTTATTGTCTCGCAATGTTAATATTCCAGTTCATTTGATTTATATTAAGCTCTTTAATTGGAGCAATTAAATACGTATATTATTAACCGATATTACTTTTTGTTTGTATTGAAAACTTTACAAAAACAATCCTTGTTACTAGTATATAATTAGTCTATCTTTTTAAGTGTACATTTAGTAATTCTTAACCGTTTTTAAATCAACATAAAACTTGTATAGAAGTGAAGCTAAGTTCGTTAAGAAAATCAAAAAGAACATTTAAATCCGAGACTGTCTGAGATCATGATACGATTTACTTATAATCATTACATTTTTTAGGAATTTCCGAACGACTAAAGGGCGAATGTTATTATCTTCTTATAATTTTAAGTACACAGCTTCAATGTAAAAACATTTTCTACGAAAACACCTCAGATAAAGAGCTTAAAGGATAACAAGCCTTTCTACGTATATTCTTTAAAAAAAGAAAACATTTAAAAGACTCACACCGTGAGTTCTACTACATAAAATGATATTACGAAGAGCGTTGCCAGGCGATGCAAATCGTAGGAAAATTCCTTTCATAAGTGTATAGAATAATTTACCAAAAACATTGGGACGATGTAAATTTTTATCAACTTATTGAATTCGTAATTCAGTATTTACTTGAAAAATTATAACACATTTTAAAATAAGGCTTTTAATGTTAAATCACTTCTACGTGTAAGATCTTAAAAGCTTATTGGTAACCAATAGATTGTCCAAATATAATTATTTTTATTATGATGGATGCATACAATTTTAAATAAAATACAATAAATTTAGTATTCTGTGACAATTCCCTTACAATGTATTTCATTAACCTTAGTCCTTTTTCCTTCCAATCAAAGGTTGATATCAATCAATAAGCATTTATCAACGTTGCAATTTATTTTCTCGTACCTTGCTAAAATCGTTGAAACGAGCATCGCTGGCGTCGCAGCCGCGTCTCGCGAGTCCCACAAGAGTTGACTTAATCATAAGAACGAGCCGCGAAAATCGCTCCGACTGAAACTAGCCCCCGGGGAGTTGCGCTATCGGCCTCCTTTTGCTTTCTTTGGCCCGAGCCGACTCAGTACTGCAAACTCGACGGATTACAACCGACTTACGCTCTTAAGGCCGTATGAAAAAGTTTTGCACGATAAAACGTTCTGGATTTTTTTTATTTAAAAATGTTGCTTTTAAGTCAAACAATCTTAATAATTTACTTCTTGATAACCGTTTCCTGTTTTGCTTTTAATTTTTTAAATGTATTTGAAGTCAAACTTGAGTTTCATTTTTTGCTTTTTATTTATGGTTATTTTTTCTATTTATATGTACAAACTTCAAGACACATAGACGAAAAATTTATGTTAATCAATTCACATCAAGAACACTGGTATTATAAAAGTATTCACCAAATTCTAAATCTTAAAACATACGGGAACAATTAAATGTAGCCTTAAGATAGTGAATAGACGACGCAGTGAACTTAGATAGTTAATACACCGTATCCAGAACTTATCTTTAAGATATAACTGATATTTACTGGAGAATACTATAAAGAAACAAGTGAAGATAAGTCATATAGTCAGTTGTATCCTCATTAAGCTTACATTGTGTTAATGAATTTCGTTCTGTCAAAACAACAACTAACATAATGTAATTTATTGATGTCAGTCATCATTAGGATCTTGTTACTCGCGACAGTAAACAAATAGGTGCACACTTAATAATTATAACAACACTTCCTAATGTCATAAACGCCAATCAAACATCAAACAAAATTATACCTTTCCACGTGATGTATAAAGCAGTTAATTGTGTGCAAGTATGTACAAAATTTGATACGGTAAAATAGGTGTCTAGAGGGCGTAAGGGTATTACGCTGGCTTATGGCACTGTATTAATTTTGAACCGTAGTAACTTTGGCGGTGACAGAACTAAGACACCGAAACATAATTCACTTTGTAAAGCAAATGAAACTAGCGCTTAATTTACTGGTATAATTTAGTAAATTCCTTAACACTCGAAATTGTTTACGACGCTGTAACGCCACCCGCACGCTGCGCTTTAAATCGTAGATCTGGTAGTGTTGTGATCTATGTCACTCTTTAATGATGCTATCAAATAAATTATATAATAGAATTAAATTCCTTAGAGACAAAACATTGACAGTGAATCCAAAAATGTTGCAAAAAATAAATTAAGAAAGCGTTTCTTACAAAATTAAAACAGATGTAAATATATGAGAATAAGTACAAGACAGAAATGAGTGCCTGTCGCCAACAAACTGTTATGCAGTTTGGCGACATTATTTGTAAAACATTTTTGGTTATGTAAATAAATATAATAAAAAAAAATATTAAGACAATCTTCATTTTTAAATGTATGACGTACAAAGGCACAAGGGTTTACTTCTATAACTTTCAACCTTTAACTACCTCACTTGTAGTAGTCGATGACCACCTAGGGCCTCCCTTAGGGCAGAATCAGATACAAAATCAATTAAATTCAAAGATAAGTTTGGTCACCAGCGTCTATTTCTTTGATTTTTTTTTCATCTTATCTTGATTCTCATTTCTTACTTTTATTAAAAGAAAGAGTAATTGTGACGAATTTTAACTAACAATGGTATTATTAGATTAGGAACCATATATTTACATCAAAATTCCAAAGTATTCTGTTGTGCAAAATATTCATGTTGTTATTAACAAAATTGTTATAAGTCAGCTTTTGTTATCGTTTTTAAAATGAAAACATTTCAATGTCTTTTCATCAAGCACAATAGATATAAGCGTTCAACAGCACGTGAAATTGAGATAAAAAAGGAAACAGAAAATCGCTGGGAGCGCCGTGGCATAGGCCAACTCGGTTCGAGCTACAATACACTTTACATAAAAAAACATTGTGTTGAACGACAACGGGGCATCAACTTTCCCAGCGAAGACATAAGCGAAATTGAATTACACATATTGAAAAAGAAATGTGTAGCTTCTTGGTAGGCGTGGTTTGGTCGAAGACTCCTCCTACGGCGTGCAGCGCGTCGCCGCGAGGCCGCGCGGCCGCGTGTCGCCGCTGCCGTCGCCGCTCACAGTCGCGCGCCGACCGCCGCCGACCAGCGCGACATCGCTCTACACAACTTTATCAAACGCGAGCTTAGTTGCCGTTTATCTCCGATCGCGAATACATCCGCAACTTTTGAGTGTTTGACTTTGAAGAGCTTTAATATAACTTTGATAAACTCTTGAAAGTGAAATGGGGAAAATGTTGCTTTAGAACAAATACGCCGCTAATCAAAACCCGGCAATGTTTTAAGTGCAAAACTTGTTGTGTGCTTTGTGAAGATGTAAAAGATCAAACACTCGTATGATACAAAAACTTTATAATGGATTCACGTCGCAATCAGGTATTTTACAGTAGCTTGTTTGAACTAACTTATTATCAAATATACATATCATAAAGTTTAAACAATTATAAAGGAAACATTCAATTTTAGTTATATTTAACTTTTTATGTTACGATTAAAAATTTATTTACGGAGGTTTAAATACAAAAACGTTGAAACTTTAATGATTTTTTTATGTAACCTAGAATCGAACCTACGAGTCGCAGTGTCGCAGGAACTTAACCTACGGGATAAATATTTATTCGTTTGTGCTAATACTCGTATAATATTGTATTATCTTTGTTACTATTTACGTACTTACTTTTGTGATTAAATGTTTAATGTTAAACCTATAAAAGATACAAAATAAAGTATTTTAAATGTCTTTAGCGTACCATAGACAAAAGCCAATTGATAATTGATATCTAATATTAAAAATTCGTGGCAGCAAGCAAAAGATTTTATTAGTAGGTATAGGTATAACTATAACAACAGACATAATTACTACTAGCTTTTACCCGCGACCCGCGTGGAATTAAAAAAAATGTAAGTAGCCTCTTAGTTCTTCCAGATTAACCTCTATATTTGTGACAAATTTAATTGAGATCCTTTAAGTGGTTTAGACTACAAACTCTAATATCCATCCATTCAAACTTTTGCATTTATAATATTAGTAGGATTATGAAAATAAAGCATTATTTCATGCATATCTTACATACTTTATAGTATGAAATTGGATTACTTATTCTAAATAGAAGCCGGACATTACCCATGGATGCCCGAAGCCGTAAATTAATTAAATGTTTAATAATTCAAGGATAATAGAGATAAAATTTAAGAAACATTTTACGTTAGCACGCGCGAGACCTTTCAATCTAACGGATCAGTTAATCTCATATTTCAACGATCGCTTTTACCGTGTTCGGTTTGCGATGAAAATGATATTACCTAGTGAACGTTAAAGTTACTTGTTTGAAGTTATTGTTGTAATTGAATAATACTTGGTAATACAACCAACAGTTTTGAAATGTGACGTTGTGTTACTTTAAGAATAAGGCTATTAATCACAGTAGCCAGTAATAGTTATAACAATAAGCTTTAATATTACTTCTTTTGCAATTTCAATACTTCTTTTTCTAGTAACAAAATTATTCTAATGCTTTTTTTATAAGGGTATGACATATACATCTTTTTGTTAGGCAAAAGTGAATTCGATCTTTTATTTAATAAATTGTTTTAACGTCTGTAACATCCTATGAACTCTTTGTATAACGGTACAAAGATGTCCTCAAGGACAACTTGTACTACGTTAACGTAGTCAGGGGTTTGATCTATCTAAACACTGCACCGGTTGTGAGAGGCATAATGATAGAACTGCCAAGCTAGTGTCATTTTATATTTTAAACTAGAATTAAAAAATAAGCTCGTGGTGATGAAAAAAACTGCCCATAGGTAATAGTGCTCTACCTCGCTTAAAGAATATTGTTACGTTAGCTCATGTCATCATCATCAACTTGCCCTTGTACCTACGGAGGGCCGGACACTGTTTTCTGTTCCTCTATACATTTCTATCAGCCGTCATATCTGAATGCACTCCCTTGAGCATATCCTCTTTCATACAATCCATTCATACTTTCATCGGATGCGTTAGCGCATGTTCATATTCATTTCTGATAAAACAAAGTAAATTGTATCATTAACCCCATCATTAATGTATCATTGAATAAATATCGTTACATTGAATTAGTTTTTTTTCTATTTTTCAGTGAAGTAAATTGCTTTAAAAATGACTAATTTCTTTTTTCAATATTGGTTTACGTAATAAATTTGTGCAATAAAGTATGTCTGAAATCTACCATTTTATATCTCAAGAACTTTTATTTAAAGCAATTATTCATATTGTCTGTCATATAAAAATGTCATTGTAAATACCTTGGTACTGAATGGTACACAGTAAAGATGTCTGTGATATTGAATTGCTTGAAACGCGTAGTTAAAACTAATGATCTATTATAAAAAGGTTTGATATAATGGTCGTAATTCCAACATTGTCATATTTATTTTTGTTTATTGTATTTATTATTTTTTACTCACATTCGTTTTACACTTCTTACTCATATTATAAATGTGAAAATTTAGATAGATGGATGGATGTTTGTTAGAGTTTGTAGCCTAAACAGCTGAACGGATTTCGAAGAAATTTGGCATAGATATAGAAGATAGTCTGGAAGAACACATAGGCTACTCACTTTTGTTTTTCCATTACCACGCGGAAAGAGTCGCGGGCGAAAGCTAGTATATAAATTATATAAACTTACTTTTTCTATTAATTTAATAACTACTTACAATCTGCATTAATCCGCTCTATCTGTATTTACAATACTAGTAACTAAACTTTTTATATTCTATCTGTATTTTATACTTATAATGAAATATTAGGAACATATTAAAATACACTTTAACTCCAGCGCAAAAGGACACTAATCAAGTAAACATTTTTATTATTACATTAATAATGTTAATGTTAAAAACACCGCCGCAAATAAAAAAATATACCTCCTATATAAAAGTGGCATTACGTGTTTGTCCGGATGTCACTTAAGTTTTCAAAATATTAATTTGTATAAAACACTCTCCATAAAGGAGTCAATAGAGTTTTTTTAAGCTGTTCATTAACTTAAAAGCTTCTTGAAAGCCTAACAAGACGCTTCGTCAGTTTTATATAAAATGAAGACCAGCATAATTTAATATTCAATTCATTTTCTGTATGAATTTCTGTCTGATCCAAGTACTAAAGATATATTAAGATTAGTAATTTTCATTTAAGAATTGGTTCAAAAATACAATTTCAATTTACTTTAAGTATTTTTCATTACATTACTTCGTCAAAGTTACTTTTTTGATTAGTTTTATTCTATTACTAGCTTTCGATCGCGATTCCGTCCGCATGAAATAATAAAAACACAAGTGAGTAGCCTATGTGTTCTCCCAGACTATCCTCTACATCTATACCAAATTTCATTGAAATCCGTCCAGTCGTTTAGACTACAAACTCTAACAAATGTCCATCCATGTAAACTTTCACATTTATAATATTTGTATGATTTTTGTAGATATAGAGATATAAAATTAAAATATAAAGGTTACTTTTACTGAATGACTTCTAGCAGTCGATATTGACAAGCGGTCGACGTAGTACAGTGCACATGAAGACTTAGAAAACTAATTCTTGCAAAGATGTCCAAAAATGAAAAGATATCTTAATTTCCTTATCTTCGTTAAAGCTTTTCACGCGTCCCTAACGGCCATTACGTCCCGCTCCGTGACACCAGGATGTAATAAGAATCAATTACACCTTACGCGGCGATAAAGGTAATTTTTATTCGGCCACCCTCTTATCTTAATAGTGTGAGGAATACAGTTAAGTGGATTTGTAGGCACGAAGTGAGGCGATGTTTCCTGAACGTTGAGTTATTTAAAGTCGGCTCTCGCTGATATCTAGCAGGGCATCCATTACCGCAACAACGGGGTTGCTGCGTACTATAAATTATGACTGAGAATATTTATTATTTGATTTATATCTGCCTGTTAATTATAGATACGTTTAAATGCTTAACGCAATTTGCTAATTAAATCTTGAATCTAAAACATATTTTATGACTTCGTAAGTGTTATGAATATGGAAACGCTTTGAATGTTTTTGTTGGGGTATAATTTTAAGGTAAAATTCTATATGTAATCTATGTTAAATCCCAAATAGTCGTCAATTGTTTTCAAAATTTAAGATTTTTGTAATCAGATTTTGATTTTCTATTAAACCTTCAAAGAATTCTAGACCATTTCCTATATTTAAACAATCCCCACAGATACATTTTTTTACTAAAATGTGGAAGAAAAATTGATATTAAAAAAAGCAATTTCGGAAATAACTATCTAGTCGCAATTATCTAAAAACTTTTGTATGAAACGTGATAAACAAACAGAAATAATAAAACTCGCTTGTAAACAAATACAATGAATAAAAATATGACAAAAACAAAACACGACATGCAGCCAGAATAAAATTCCAACGTCAGTCTATATTCCTCAAAAATCAATAACTGGCCAATATGTGCCTATCATTTTGACATCTAGAATTTCGTACACGGCTTATGGGATCCGTGTTAGGTTATACTCGAAATTCGCATCGTGTTTGAGGGCAGGCGTTTTTGTGCGACACGCTACACCGTCCATTCATTAGGCCTGCCGCTGTCCACGTCGGCATTAATTAAAACCTGTTCTGACGAAATGTGTGCAAGGATACAATATAGATAATAGCAGGTCACGGTTTCACACACATTTTATAAACGTGCCATACTTTTTAGACTTTCTGGTTATAATAGCTTGTATTGAATCTACCTTTTACTCCACTCGAATTTTATATATTGCTTCTTTTTTATGTAACAAGATATGCCACGTGACGTGTCCTTGCAATTTAACTTTCGATTCTTGTCTATTTAAATGTCTGTCTAAGTTATGAGATTACGATCAAGTTAGTTAAGTTTAACCCTTGCAAGATACTTCAACTTTCAGAAACAAGTCGGTGCAATACTTTATTTTGAATAGCACTGTTTTGTTTATTTGTTTTTATTTTAGTAAATATGTATACAGGGATAAATGCCAATATTCTGTACTTACTAATCAGTTTATTGCACCGTGGAATCAGGGATAACGGCCACAGTCAGCCGCGCCCTGATTACTCTGGTTTATAATTGCCGCTCTTACAAATGAGTGGGAAGCGGCGGCTACTCGATAGCGAAATATTTTGAGCTGATCATTCATTAATTTGTGGACATTGTGTTAATGCAACATTTGTCTAATTGAGATGCGGTCTCGTGTTTTGTCATCAATTTTAACAGTAATTTGTATATTTTATGTGTATCAATTTATTCGATTGATAACAATCGTGTTATTTATGACTTTTATCGTGTAATTTAATATTACAAATAGCTGGATAATTTAAATAGTCCAATTCTATATTTATCTACTAATTAATTTATCGATTCCTGGCTGATAATATCAGACTTCTAAAATCCTGGTAAGGACTATCGAACACAAATTAATACAAAGGTGGTTACAGGATTGTGTTTGAAGAGCATTTGTCGCTCGATTTCGTACTGATGATCAAAGATCTAGTCACTTATCACTATTGGTTTATAATTATACCAACACTATGCATTAAAAAAACATGAATACTTTAATTAAGAAAATGTTGGCTGATTTTAATCTCAACTGGGTTTTATAGAGCTTATACAAACTCTACTTTGAGATTTCTCAACACAGACTACATTGCAAACGTTTGAAATATAAAACGCTCGGAGAAGTGAAAGACTGAATCTTTCTTCACCACACAATAACGCTCAAACGTAGGTGGAAATGTTTCTAGTCGCGTAAGATTTAACTAGAAAGTATGTCACTTGTGAAGGGAAATAATGATGTATTAAAAAAGATTCTCGGAAGCTACACTTCATGTTCATAAATGTAATTCAGCATAACCTTTTAATATCATACGTTGATTTAACTAAAAAATAGTATTTAGATATCATTGGACAATGTAAACATATTTTGTGTATTAAAAATATATTAAAGATATTTTTACATGTACACAGGTACTGTTACATGTAGATATGATAACAATGTTTACTACGTCTACTAAATATGGAATCACGAGTACAAAACAATTCCTTTATATCCATTAAACAGCAATAAAAAGCCAGTCATGCGAATCAACCCTAAAAACTTTATTACTTCGGAACAATTCTCACTACTTGAAAATTGAAATAATTCACTTCGCCCCGTCGCATAACTTTAAAGTAACTTATGAACGGGCACAATGAGGCTTTATACAATACGATAATGTCGCTTGACCTGCACGCTGCCGGTACCGGAAATGCATGATGTGGCGCTGGCATTAATTACAACATCCGGTGGCGATCGCGCCGCTATCGCGACTTCGCGGGTAGTGCCGAGTCCGTCCCTGCTCGACCCTTTTCATGTTTATTATGATTTTTCATACGCTTTATTCAATGAACAATACATTTATTGCAATAATTTTACATTGTTACGATGTTAACACAACTTCGTATATACAATACTGAATACTCTTTAAACAATTTGCTACGTAGCGATAAAACGGACTTGCCAGTAAATCTTTTTACCGTGCGCGAATGTTAATTCATATTTATTTCCTTGAATTGCATAAAAGTTAAATGAAATAGTTCCCTCGTTGTGTTATTTAATTGCGTTTATACTTATTTCTTTCACAAATTGTTTCATCACGTATTTATTTTAAAAAAATTAAAAACAATTTGATATATAAAGCAAAATATTTTTTTAAACTAGTTTCGTTTGCAACAAATACTATTATTGTTAATGGCATTGTTTATCGCACATTAGCAGATCCGAAACAGAACTTTTCTAAAGAGTACCGGAGTTTTTATCGACTTCATAATTCAAAAACATTTTAAACAAAATTAATAACCAACAACCACAAGGGAATACAGACGCTCCACAATGTAATATAAAAAATTCAGCATTCACATTATTCATTGTATAAAGAACGGTATTACATTTTAACTTTTATTGTATACTTCCATCGGTTACTTTTTAATTTTGTTCAGAGGTATATCGTTAGCACATTGTCATTTCTGCATTGTTGTCACAAAATAATTTGCATCAAAAAGCTGGTACATTTTATTCTACCAAAGTATGTGCTTTGAATGGCAAAAAATAAAAGCGATAATAACAATTGCAGAACGCTATAACGTTTTAGCTCCGACAATGAGCGCTGTACGTATTCGAGGGTTGCATACGACCGCCGGCCGCGCAGCAGTTGCGCAACGACTTGCTAATGGTTTAGAATAATTTGCTGCGCCGAGGCGAAAACATTCGGCCGCACTAAACATTGCAATTGCAGCTCTGTAGCCCCTTGCCATGCAAATTGTACTCAATTGAAATTCTTCCACGTTTGAATCCTGCGATAGTTCCCCTTATACCTTATGATATCTTACCTTTTTACTGCTACAGAACAAATAGTTGTTATTTTTCATTTAATGGTAACACTTGTAACCCTTACTTAGCTTCTAATTTACTTGACTCGGGTATATTTAAAGAAAATATCAATAACTTATTTTTCTTAATTTCGTATCAAGTAATAATTGCTTTAAATTACTGTCAATAATTTTTATTAAACTTTATGAAATTTACTTCTAAATTACAGTAATTTTTAGATATAAGTGAGACAAAATATATTATCGTCTTTCTGGTTCCCGTTCTACGAAACAAACAAGCATTACGTTTCACTTTTGCCTAATGAAATGGATTTTTATAAGTTGGTTAGCTTCCCCTGCGCAGGCTGTAACGAAAAAATATTATCTCGAAGCACTCGTAGCGTAAACCTTGTTAGTTGTTACTCTATTATCATTGTATAGCGAAACCGGCAACACGATATGAAATTTTGTTAGCGTTCTCTCTCCGTGTCCGTTCGTTTTACACGAGCATAAAAACTATGTTGTTTAGTATGTGGTTTATATAACGAAATCAAATAGATCGCATAATAGGATATTGTTAAATAAATAAATGTATATTAGAAAGTATATAATAAAGTGAATTTGCGGAATTTTAATTTTATCAATGGGGCGACCACAAGGTCCATATTAGCATCACCCATCGCCGCGGGCGACTCTTTGATATGAAATTCTTTTAGCGTAGACCGCACGTAGCCGCCGCTACGATGCTACGCCGAGCCGCCCTACATTCACTCATATTTTAGATAACGTTCGACTGTTTCACTCGCGCACCGCAGCCGGAATGTGAATAAAAATAGGAATATTTTAGCGTTACCCGACGTCGTGCGATGATTCCGCAATGTTTATATTTCTTATATTATCTTTACAATGCAGTACGTACGCACTTATCTACATGTGAGAGACGCTGTTTGTATGTTAACTAAAGCAAAAGCACTCACACAAATGTTTACAGAGACAGCTACGATTTTATTTTATCATTCTTATATGTATATATTATTGTTCCATGAATATGAATATACGCAATTGAATTAAGCTGTAGAAAAAAGTGAAATTTCAAACATGTTACACAAAAGTGTAGTACTTGAGCCAATTAAAGATATCTATTAAATAATTTTCAACCCTACTTAGTCTTTCCTTTCGTTTTCTTCAACTGCGGAGAGAATTGATATATAAGAATTTTTAAAAGAAAAAAAAATATTGTGGCGTAAATCGAGAACTAATCGTGACAATTTATTTACAGGTACCAGAGAGCGATGATTCGATATGAAATCGAAGATAGAGGAGGAATAATATTGAATATGTCATCGTGGAGATGTATACGGAAGAGTGGCGGTAGTCGGCAGCCGCGAGCGCTGGATTGAGATGGCAGGGACACAGTCGCGTGGCGGGGGGCCGCTCGCTCGCCTCCTAGTGTTGGCGGTGTTACACGTCAATTTCATTGGTAAGTCACTTTTGTAGCAGAAAAAGATGAAATTTTATTTGACTAGAAATTAAATTGAATTTTGAGTTATTAAAATAGTAGACATACTATTTCGATGACCACGTCAGCACCACTCCAGGCAACTGCGTCGCGATATGAGATATTCTAAATATCCAAGATAGTGATAATATTGGTATGGTACATAACTTTCTTCTGAATTGAACATTTTAATTATATGCAAAAACAAATTATAATAATTTCCTCCCACACGTCACGTAATTGAAGTGAAGCTTGTGTTTGTAGAGGACAATGCGTGGGCGGGTATAAAACGCAGCAACGAGGATTGCCAAATAACATAGTGGCGTACATTTACGACATTCGCGCGGTTTGTGTCCGGGAGTTTTGCAGTCGCTCTCATTTAACAAAGTGCAAGCTTTCGCAGCGTTTGCGTGAAATTTGCTACGCTGTGACAATACACAGGCTCGTTTATATCGTTATAAAAGCATTTCTACAAAATATCATTGTGAAACTGCGAGAAATTATCATTACTCAAGCTTTGAATGTTTAAATTGTTTTAGCTAAATGTTATACGGTTTAATTCTGCTATATTAAGGCTTAACAATGACGATATGAAGTTAGTATAATACTGCGTGAATCGTTATTTTAGAATTTAAAATGAATATGGATCAAAGTTAATTAATTAACATTTTTAAAAAAAAACATTCTAAGACACCGCTTTCAACCATCGATACTTTGTACCTTTAGCATTTTATACTTCATAAAAGAATTAAGAAACACTTTCTTGAAAGTTACTTCTAATCTCCCGGACTATCCCTTGTTTCGTTTAATTTATAGTAAAAAGTAATTATCATGATATATCAAATATGTACGAGTATGCAATAATTAAAGAGACATTTTGTAAATGGATTTTTTTAGTCACTTTAAAAGCAATACATTCAACGATGGTAAAATGTAAAAGCTTCATAAAGTACCGTGGATAAACCCTTTCAGAAATCAAAGCGCCGCTACCTGTACAGAAAACTCATTGAAAAACAGTCCGTAGGTTAAAAATCAGAACGTTTCACGAAATACGAATGCTCTTCATAGTATTGAAATAGTATGTACCTGTAATGTAAAAATGTGTATTATGGAAAAGCATTATGACTTTCCTATTAAAGTAATTTTGAAAATCAAATAGATCTCATATAGTTCTTGTTAAAAACTATCAGCATCGTAAATTACATTAGTACTTCCTGTAGTGTATTTGCTGTTTCAATATTGCTAAGACAAACGAGTATATATACTGGTAGGTAAAAATATGTTTTCATTTGACAAATGGTAAACTTTTAAAGCTCAAAAAGCCATCATAAAATCTCTTAAAATCGCTAATCAGTCATATAAAAATGTTTTTGTAGTTTTATTACTATTTATATTCCGTATATTAAAATTCTATAATATAGTTAGTGTCTGTTATATCAAAAAAAAAATCCACATTTCGGGAAGACGGTGTATTTGCGTTGCTGACAACGAAAATCGCATTTAATTTTTTTTTGTCTGTCTGTATGTCTGTTCGCAAGCTGCGTTTATTCCGGATAATCTCCGAAACGGCTGGGCCAATTTAGACCGAACTTTCACTAAAGGGTAGCTGACATAGACGGGCATATTATAGGCTACTTTATTATCTTAATATGGCGTGGACGCAGTCGCGAGCAACAGCTAGTTACAAATAGTATTTAATATTAAACTTAAATTATAGTGTGATTAATTAATGCCCGCTACAGGGTAAAAAAATCTTAGACAAAACTTAATGTCTTTCTTGCTTAGCTGCTAAGTTACATTGTCCATCAAAGAAAAGCTTAATTATAGTGTGATCGTAACAAAGAAATTACAAAAGCACTGATGAATGTAATTGAAATACGGGCTACGTTTAGTAAATGTTCGTCATGGTATATGATTTGTGTCGTATGTAAATTAATCTCATCGCGTTCAAATTTTCACTTGCCACCATATCTCGTGTCGTTTCATTGTGCCTGCCCTGAAACCATTAGCGAAAATGTCACAGCGCCGGCATTGTGAACGCGCCCGCGGCCGGCCCGCACAATGATGCGGCCGCGAGACCCCGCTCCGCCCCGCGCGACCTCGCTACACCCCGCTCGTCCCCGCCAGCACGCCTTTACCTTTACGCTACGATTCACATTTATGTCCCCGTTATAAATGACAACGACAAATTTTAACGAACCTTTTATCTACTTATCAATTGAAATATACTTTTAAAAACATGCAAAAGCAAATCGTAAAAGATTTTTTTGTTGAAAATCCACATTTTTGATTTTGCTTTGCTTGGTACATTTTTAGACTTTGCGTACGGTTTAACAAATCTCAAGCGTCCGCACGCAAAGATTCTCATCACGTTGCGAACGAGTGGCCGACAAAGGAAAAAGGGCTTGCATACCTTATTACCACCTTTTTACAAATCCTTACTTATGTGAAATACGACACGCTCGCACAATTTAAAATGACAGCTAAGTGTATCCTTACGTGACTGAAATTATAATCTTGAGTTTAAAAAAATATATTTACCTACATCGAAATGTGTACATACAAATTAACTTTTTCTTACCAAAGAATTTCGTTGGTTATTTTCTTCCAAATTTTTCTGTGTCAAGTTGTCATTGCGCTTTACTTTGCAATTAATCAGAAAGTCAATGAGCCGTTTTGTTTGGTCATTTCTAATGAAGAAGGCTTCCCTTGCGATTTAGCTAAATAGCAACCAACAGCTATCCCCTAATACAAACCGAAAATGAACTACATTAGAGTGATTTAAAAAAAATGATACAAAGAAATCCTACAGCAGTAAAACAAGGTTCAACGAACTTATAACTGATCTTTGTTGAAACAAAGAGGGCGGAAAACCCAAAGAACAGTATTTATTGCTGTTATCTTATTTGCATGCAATTCAGTGAATTGTTGCCTTCACTCTACGCCATAAGTCGCATTGCGTTTATAGAATATTTACTCATAAACGTGCAGATTGCGGACGGGACGCGATTTTATGTAAAAATAGGGAAAGGGGAGTTATTTTATTTATTGCCCTCTTCAGTTGGTAGCGTCGGAGTGAGAGATTGCCCCCGGTGCATATCTGAATCAGGCATCAAGCCTATGAAAGCATCCGTCGAAATTTACGTATGAAGCAAATGAAAAAGTTCTTGGCACGTCTACTATATTAAATAATGTTTCTTTTTTTATGTTTCCCATTACATCATTTTTATTAAACTTAAATATTAACATTTATGCACTCATGAAGTATGTATATTTACAAATGTGAACGTGTAATCGTACTAGAAAACATTTGTAAATTGCACAAAAAAATCTAACATATTTTTGTATTTGAATTTTATAGATTTTCGACTGTAGATAATAAAAGTATATCTAATTAATATTATAAAGAGGACTGATTTGTATTATCTTTGAGTAACATGGGCTGTATTTTGCATTATTTTTTAACTTCACACGGACGAAGTCGCAAGCAACATCTAGTTTATTAATTAAATTATTCTTATTGAATACTATCAGATTTAATAGTAATCCAAACGTTATGAAGAACACTCAACCGCCGAGCTAACATTATTCAGTCACGTTATACAAATCCGTTGCTGTTATTTTATCCTGAACCACGTTATCTTCAAACTATTACAATTATTGAAGCAAATAGGATAGATCGAATTTATTTTCCGGTTCGTGTTATATTTCAAAAACAAAGGATATAAACCAAATCCTTTCTAAAGGAGGATCACTAACCATATTTTTTTATTGGAGTTGTCATACTTACATGTTTATATTTTTACTAAGTTTCGCCCGTTCGCGTGGAATTAAAAAAAAGTGAGTAGCCTACGTGTTCTTCTAGACTATCCTCTACATCTATACCAAATTTCATCGAGATCCCTTCAGCCGTTTAGGCAACAAACTCTAACAAACATCCATCCACCCATCTAAATATTCGTTTGTATAATATATAATATTAGTAAGATTAGTATATTGAGGAAGTTTACCATTACAAACTTGTCCAATAAAACATTTCTAGTGAAAAAAAAAACATTTGATGTCATCGTTAAATTTTGATAAGTGAATTTATATTTTTAATAATAGCAATAACTGCTTAAAACTTAAATCACTAAGCTTACAATACTTTACTTAACAAATGTAAAAGCTTTTAAAATTTTCAAGCTCGATAACTTCTTTGCGAACTTTCCGGGCAAAGCCTAGAAGTTACACAAATAATCTGGGAAATAGTTTTGCGCCTCGACGCCTCATAACAACATATTTTGCGTCAGTCTGTTGCGTTTAACGCTGTGTTTCTTCTACAACTTGCCGAGAAGTCTATTTAAGATCTTTCTTGAGCCAACAAAAACCGACCAGACAAGTTAATCACGCGAATATTATTGTAAGAAATTCTTACAGATAAAGAACATTTTTATTAAGAAAACACGTTTATATATATTGAATTAATTCCATATACATCACGGTTCATACCGAAATCAGATACAAATGTGGACCTGTGAGATACTGTGTAATGAAATATATTTTTTAATAATGCGGTTAATCAAAGTAACAAGCAAACAGGCATTACTTGATTAGCGCTTTTGTAATTAATAATGACAACTTCAAGACAAACCAGCGAGCTTGGATAAAACATATTAATCCTAATATATAACTTTGAAGTGAAACGAGCCTCTTGTGAATCATGAAGCAGAATATTACAAACTCAACAGATACCATCTCAATATTTTATCTTGTTACAGAAAAAGACCTTGACAAACATTAACATTAATTAATTCTAATAATAGGAAGAGAAAACATCCTTATGTGCGTCTCCTCTCCCGTCGATTAAGGCTAGGCTACGCATCCTTTGCCTATGGGCAACGATGGCTTCACTAATTCGGCGAATTCCGCTGGCTTCTTTGCTATCTTATCATGTAAAAAAGTTTAAAAGCCAAATTTTACAGACGTCCTCCTGCGGTACG